ACTTTTTCTCAGAAGACAACTACTCATATGCCTATTCTGCACATTTTATTGTGTTGTTCCAGTCATCCTCAGTAACTATAACGGAGACAGTATTGGATTGAATTTTGGTCTCAAACTTACTTAACAGTGTGGAATACATCACACTACCCAGTCCCCTCTGACTTTAATTGTATACTTTTATGTTCAGATTACAGTATTTTGCAAGAGGTTTGCAAGTTTACATCAGACAACTACGTCTTGCTTTGCAAGGAAAAACGGGTGAAGCTTTGAAAACGGAAGAGGTATGTAGTCTAGCACAGTGGCTGTCTTTCAAAATTAAATGAGGAGACTGCTGGGGAAAAGTTAGATACTTCTAGTAACTACGTTGTGTTAAATTGTTTCTTAGGGCAGAATTGTGAAGCTTGCAGCCATGTGATTTGGAATATATTTCCAAACAAAAATGTGTATTTCATAAAGTGTTGTTTCTTTTCCACAGAACAAAATTAAAGTTGTTGCTTTGAAGATAACCAATAACATTAATGTTCTCATCAAGGTAATCATTTTTATCATATCGATTGCAAAAAAGGGCAGTTGTTGTGTTATTTTGGGATTTTATGCAGTTGGAAATTGATTATAGTTCCTGACAAAGCTTGGCACAGTCTAAAGTGCTGTCATAACAGATTTTTGTAAAAGTGATTGGTGTTTTAAAAACAAAGCGAAGCTAAAGTATTACACTGCCATGCGCAGACATCTGCCTTTTTTGGATGGGAATCTTTAAATGGTATTAGTTAATGCCTTGTATATTTGTGCCGTTAGGCAAATAGATTATAATATAACTTATTTTCTAGATGCATAGATTCATTCTGTAAGCTGACCTGGTTGGTTAGCTTGTTTGGCTGAATGGTTTCTGATACGTACTAGTGCCAACAGTACGGGTTCAGTTCCCACACTGGCTGAGGTTACCACAAGTGTTCCGCCTTTTCAATCTAGCCCCTAGTCTGAGACATGGTGATCCTAAAGTTAAATTCACTACTAGTCATGTCTTTCTGCTAAGAGTGCAACTTTATGGTCCTCTGAAACTGGTAGTGACTTTACCTTACTGATCTGAAAACAGCATTGAGTAATTTGCACATTTTCTTTTGGTTAGGATCTGTTTCACAACCCTCCCTCTTATAAAAGCACGGTCACCCTTTCTTGGAAACCTGTACAGAAGGTTGAAGTAGGGTAAGGTTACTCTTGTATCTCCTATCATTGTACACTGTTTTCATTTCTCGTAAATAAACTAACTGTAAGAAACAGCACTGATAACTTCAGGTTTTTTTTTTAAAATGACTGCTGAGGTCCTAATCCCTAAAACTTATTTACCTTAGTTGTTGCCATTTTAAAATAAAATATCTCTGGGATCCTAGATTTTATAAATTATAAATGAATGATGAAACAGTTTAGGCTACCCATTTGAAAATATTTGAACACCATAGGTAGAATACAGAAGAGATTTACTAACTAGATGTGAGACAAATTAACCTGGGCCTTTTCTCTGGAAGAGAAAAGTAAGAACAGGTAAAGCAAGAACTCAGACTTGAAGGATTTCTAAGTTGGAAATACCTAGTACTACTGGTTGTTTTATGGGTCACTCAAAGCATAAATCACCACCAAAAAAACAAAGGGAGATGTTAGAAATTATTTTCTTACATAATTTTTTAAAGATCTGGGGAATGGGTATTAGAGGCAGAATAAATAGAGAAAGCCAACCCATATGCAACTAGCCAAATATTACACTTGTTTTACTGCTCTTTTAATTATTGACAAAGTTCAGAGCTCTGATACTTAGCATTTTTAAATAAAAGTCTATCTAGTAAAAGGGGAATCAGACTATGTTTTCCAATGCCAAGAGGACCACCAATGCATGTATAAGTGGCAGTGGTGATGTCATGCAAGGAATAATAAAATTCTGCACTCGGTTTGTATACATGGGAGGACACCACCACTCTTGCTCATATAGTTTGCCTCTGTGAAAAAAGCCAGTTATGCCTGGACTGCAAGAATCCTTTGGGAGTATATGGGCTGTTTTAGTTAGAAAATTGGAGTGTACAAACCATTATGGATTTTTTAGGTAGTAGGATTTTTACAATTGTTTTGGAGTGCCCCTCACATGTCATTTAGTCTATTTTCAACACAAAAGAAGGCTTAGAAAATTTAGACTTGCTGTGGTTTTATGTAGCTGACCTGAGAACTGGGATGCTAAATAGTTAAAGAACAGTAACATTAAAGGTATGAGTGCAGGGAGCACATGGGAAGACAAGAATTACATAAGCTAAATTAATATTGTATTTTTATGTCCTTTGGCAAGGCTTGAGAAGTTCGAAACTAAGTGAAGTTTTTGATACTGACCATGCCTTGGGATATCCTAAATATGACCACAGTTTCCATATCCCTGCAAGATGAAATTAAAAATTGCATTTTTGTAGCACCATTCATGGCTTTCAGTCATTGAAGTGCATGTGAAGTGTCGTCGTTATTGTCATGTAGGAAGAAGCAAAACGCAGGGCAAACGGCCGTAAACTGCAATGTAATAATGACCAAATAATGTGTTCTTGTCATGATGATCGAGGGATAAATATGAACTTGAACACTGGGGATAGCTCCCATGCTCCCCTTCAAAATAATGCAGCGGGGTCATTTACATCATTAAACTTTAGTTTAATGCTCGTTTAAAAAATGGTACCTCCAACAAGTGCAACATACCTTCAGTACCTTACAGAAGTGTCAACCTTCATTTTTTGCCTCAAATCCATAACCTTCTGACTCAGGCATGAGAGTTACTATCTGAACCACAGCTGACTCTTAAATTGCAAATTTAATGAACTGAACTGATATCATCTGACTGATGCTAACATAACTACTTCTAGTATTTACTTACTTTCCTTGCAACATTGGCATCAAGGTCCAGAGTCCAATAAGAAGAGCAAGTCAATGCAAGATAATTTGTTACAAGGATTTGTAACCTTTAAATATATTCTGAATAGATTTGCAGTTATTTTTCAGAATAGTGTAATTCATTTCATGATGTTACTTTTTAGTTGTATGTAGGAATCTTAAGATTTCTTTTGATTGTTTTTTCTTAAATGTGAAAGTGCTTGGTAGATGTCAGTTTAGATTAGTGCTGATACAAGAATAGCAAAGCGGTCTTGTAGTACTTACTAATTCTGAGCTGGCCTTCCTGTCTGCTGAATAGAAGTGATTTTTATTTGCTGTATGCCTAACTTAATATGTAAAGTAGAAAGTATACAAATAATGTTTGTGTCAACCGAGTGCTACTTTTTAAACTATATTCACTTGAAATATGACACCCTTTGGACATGAGCATTTGTACTAAATCTCTAGAATAAAACTTGTATTTACTTGAGTGTTTTAGGATTAAGGTTATGATTGTTGGTTGTCCAGCTTTATTAGTTTTCTTTCAATTGCACAATATGAGTTGACAAAGAAGAATTTCCCTAGAGCTTCAGGTAGCCAAGGCTTAAAAGATCAATGACTACGATAATAAAGTACTTAATTTCTGCATTGTCAGAATGTTTATTGCCGGAATTGATAACTTTATTTAATAGGAACGTCAAGGATAATTCATGTGTTTCATGTTAATAGGCAAAAACGAATGGCTGAGGAAAATACTTCATCCCCTCCCAAGAAACAATCTCCAGCACAAAAACGGGATACCAGACAGATTTACAATCCACCCAGTGGCAAATACAGCAGTAATCTTGGTAATTTCTCCTATGGTAAGCTATGTAAATCAAATTGTAGATCTGGCAATTTGGTTTTTCTTTAATGATGTTTCAATTTGAATAGCATCATTGGTGGAATGAGAGTTCATCTGTAAGCTGCTAAGTGACTAGATTTCTCATCTCAGCAGTGTTGTTGTGGAGAAAGTGTCACCTACAAAACTCAAGTATTATGTCAATGTGACAGGAGAAAGCATCATTGTCTATTACTCAGCCTCTATTTGGTAATTGGGTCAAACCAGCATTGATTGAATTTGGATCTAATTGTCTATCCTCATTTAATTTACTTTTTCAATAAAGGGAGAAAATAACTTGGGAAGGCCATGCATACTTTTGGAGGAAGAGGAGGCTAGAAGAAATACATTCTTGTCCTTTTTGAACTTTTATTACCTCAGCTAGTTCATTTGGAAAAGGAACACTTTGTTAAGATCAAAGATTAATCTTTGGTTAAGTGTCAAGTTTTGTGCAAAATTTTTAACTGCATGCTCACGTGACAAGTAGGCACTTGTGTAATTCGGTATAATTTTCATACCTTAACAGTGCTATTCAAGTTACAATTAGTTAAGAAAGCTCATCAAGCACAATTTTTTTTTTTTTTCTCTCTAACAGAACAGCGAGGAGGTTTCCGTGGAGGTAGAGGTCGAGGCTGGGGTGGACGAGGAAATCGTAGCAGGGGACGCCTCTATTAGAATGAAAGGCTCCTTCACCGTTGTCCATTGTGCATTAGTTACTGTGTATTATAATCTTGGGATTGCTACAGAGCACCTACAAGAACTGCTAGTAGCCTTCAAAGGAGAATTCTGTATTTAAGCAAACCTAATTTCTAGAAAATAACTTTGTACATTTCAATCTATGTTTATATGTGGGAATGTGAAGCTGTTTTTCCAAGCCCACACAATTGTTCTGAAATGTGCTTTTAATTTCTTTTTCTTTGTTTTATACTGCAGTTCTGACATTTATAATAATTGTAGGCTGGGAGGAATTTTCAAAACATAAAGCACAGCAACAGTTGACATTCCAAAATCCATCTTGGCAAAAGCACTAGGATAAATTGAAATATGGTAGGAAATTTGTGAGCAACTCTTGTGTGCTACATGTTATCCAACACGTTTCCCATTATGTGACGTAAAACCTGCATTTGCAGCAATGTTTGAAAATAGTCCTTTTGTGATCTCTGGCCAGTATGGTAAATTTCGAGCTGTTCTGGATTCCCAGTACCATTGTTTTATTTCCAAATAAATATGTGCCACTAGACCACGTAGCATCATGGTAACAGTTCATGAGAAGACTCTTGCAGCACTAGCACTTCCAAACTTCGGATTTCGTGCTCCTTGTGTTGAAATACCTAACCTTTTAATTCCCTACAATAGATTTCCCAGTCTGATAGCAGATTAGCAATGGTTTTCAAAGGTTGGCATCTTACGACTAACAATTGATGGAACTTCAAAATTTTTTTTTTCCCCATTTATCTCTCTGGATTATATTTTGCCTTTGCCTTCTCTGCTTCCCAGTTGAGATTGGTGAATTTAATTGTGTTGAAATTATGGGTAAAAGCACACTTGTGTAGTGGTGTATTCATATACGGTGTGCTACTCTGTTGGGGCTGGGTCAGACGTTCCTTTTCTGGATTTAGGTGGATGCAACCCAGACCCAGTTCAGTATGTGTCCTTTGGCAAATGAATGGCACTATCCCTATTGATGAACATAAGGCTTCATGCTGTGATAAAACTTTAGTGCTGTGCGATATTTACATAACCTGTTGCATTTTTATGATCTGTGTGGATTAATTGTTGAGTGCTATAGTACTGAAGTACTGTATTCAAAAAGTACTTGTAGTTTTAAAAAAAGAATGATTGCTTGATTCAAAAGCTTTGTCTGCATTTGTGCTTTGATCCCAACTTCATTGCCGAGTTGCGTACCCACTAATCTTTTGACATCAATATTACCTTATTGTGCATTTGCATCGTACAATGGGCTTCATTTTGATGTCAGGTTTAAACAGTCATGAGGTAAGTTTTCTGATCAATTTCTCAGTTTATCCCTCTGCCCCAGTAAACTGACAACTATTAACTTTCATACATTAATTTTTTTCTGATTATTATATATGCATTCATTTTTAAAATGAGAACGAAAACCATTGCACTATTGGGCTGAGTACTACATCTATATAACAGAATCATATGCCATTGATTGTGGTCTTGAGCAAACCTACGTAATCAGCAGGTTAACTCTTGCTAATCTATTTTCACAAGCCTTCAAATGCTTTAAGTGATGATGCATTATCACACTTCAGTTCTGGTTGTGGGAATTGCTGTCTAGCATACTTACACAAAACGTTACATTATGATTCTGGTTATTGTTATCTGCATGCGACAAACACCAGTACGATTCTGAATAAACTGCAAGTTGTCGTGCGTTATTGCGTCATGATCTTGCAGAATGTTCACTTGCATTAGTGATCTTGGGAGTCCAGCTTTAAAAGCCCTGGTATCTAAATTGAAGAAACAACAGTCAATTCAAGGCAGTAACTGCTGTGCATTGGTGAAGCAGCTATACAGAAATTGGGCAAAGTTCTTTCACTGTGCACATTGTGGTGATAAAGGCCACAGTGGGATTGTTAATGTTCATGTCGAAATTTGAACTGTGAAAAAAAGAAAGCTAAGTGATGAAACAAAATGGTTTTGAATTAACATTCACATATATGTATGTTGGTTCTTAAATGCCAGTTGTCAATGTTACATTTGTTTCCGGATGTGAGTAATGCTGAACTATTTAACTGCTTAATGACCTAGATTTTAAATTTATCATAGTGCATACTTAAATAGTAGAAGCTGTATTTTGGAAACTTGCTGTTGGAGGTGAATGAGTACAATAGGCACAAATGTGCATGAATGACATTTTCATATTCACTTTCTAAAAGCCAGTTATTGTACAGTTTCTTTGCGTGGAAGTTACCTAATACGTTACTGATAAAGAAGGTATTTGAGGGAAAGATGCTTTTTTCCTTTTGTGAAAAAGGAATATAGTGGAACTTTTTCATTTATTTAGTCTTTGATTTGCAGTATAACAATGCAAGACTTTTAGCAACATGTGGAAAGTTCCAATTGTCTTTTGCTTGTGCAGAAAGATTTATTTCAACGTTTGGTTTAAATAAATGCAAATTGAGATGTAAAAGTAATTAATGAATTCCATCTCTAAGGCCGTAGGTAAAGCAGTTTGATCAAATTTTATTTAGGAAAGATATAATTGCATGTGACCTTTTTATAAGGATGCCCATACATATTTAGAGAATGCATTTTGTAGATTTTTTGCTAGTTTTATTAATGCCATTGCAGCTTCTGTTTAGAAATGCAACAAAGTTAATTGTTCACCGCCTCATTTTCCTTTAGTGGAAGGAAATGTAAGTGTTGCCCCATTCTTTTGGAATACAACATTTTGTACAGTAATAAGAGATGACAAGTTGTAGAGCTGGATGAACGCAGCAGGCCAAGCAGCATCAGAGGAGCAGGAAAGCTGACCTTTCTGAAGA